TCGTCGAACTCCACGGAGCGGCAGAAGTATCTGCAATTGCCAAATTGTTATTAGCCAAATGGCTAATATGGAAGGGGTATAGGCCAGATCATACTTCTCGGCACGCAGGCACATCGTCTGGCACTCCTCCAGCGTCATGTTGTTGAAGATGTCCACCTCGAAGGGGCCACCCAGTCGCTTGTTCTCCTCCTTGACGAACACGGCCAGGCCGTCGCAGCGCCTCTCAGCTGTGCCATGGATTAGGATTGGGGAGCGGATTAGGATTAGACCTGCATGAAGCAGCCGCACAGAGTGGGGGGGTCTCACCATTCAGGCAGGTATTCTCCAGGTAGTCCGAGTTGGGGTCATCTTCCATCAGCTCGGGATGGGTGCGTCGGGTGAACCGGCTCAGTGTGCAGGAGCGCATGGTGGAGTCAAAGTTGGCCGAGCGACAGACGAAGGAGAACTCGTTGAGGCACTTGTCCTCGCAGTCCGACCTATTGGCGGCCGTGATCTCCTTGATGTCGCTTATCGGCAGCTTTAGCTTCTTCCTCGGATGCCGCTCGAACACGTACCGCCGACTGGGGCACTCCCGCTCCGGTCGACTGGCTGCATTAGAACGGAACCGGGAACGAGAACGAGAACGGGATTCATACAGCTACAATTGCAGCCACATTGCACATTGCATTCGGCCTTCGGGCGCACTCACATGTCAGACAAATCTCGTTGAAGTGGACGCTGTTGGGCACCAGCATCAGGCTGCCAATGCCCTCGGGTCCCGCCTGCTCGGCGGTGAGATAGCACAGCGACTCCTCGTACTCGGAGTTGCCGCCAAACGAGGTGATCCGACTGCCCGGCTGGAAGTCGAAGCTGGTGCAGGTGCGCACCATATTGTTCGTGCCCGTCCGGTCGCGCAGGCACAGATCCTGGCACTTCTCCAGCACCCGGAAGGGCGGAGCCGTGTCCCGCACCACATCGTCATCGTAGCCCTGCAGCTGCTGGTTGGGCAGTCGCTCGTAGAGCACGCGCCCCAGCCCATTCTTGCAGGTGGTTTGGCCTGGCAAGCAGAGATTGGGAGCATCACAGCCTACCCTCACGAGGACTCTCGCTGTTCCCCTGGAACTCGCTCACTCACCTTGGATTGCTGTCAGGCCGAGACAGACCAGGAGGGTCGTCAGCAGCGTATGCAGTGCCCGTTTGGGTCTCATTCTATAATAGTTTCGCTATCGATATCGGTCTCTGTGTTCTGTGGGGCTTCCTAGCTGGATCGCGGCATTATTGGCCTCGATCTGTGGGGTCTCGTCTCTCGTTTCTGTTGCTGCTCGTGTGCTGCTCTGCTGCTCTGCTGCGTGTTTTCCAACCTACAGTTTGCAACAGAACTCGTGGTGGTTAGTGCCGCTGGTTTATCCGACATGATCTAATTAGTTCATTGGCTGACAAAATGACACACGAAATATGCGACCTCAATAAGCGGAATTTCCCTGCAAACGACGCGTCCCCCTCCCGCCGCAGAACCAGCAAAGTGTTGGGAGGAAAAACACATGAAAAGTGGAATAAAATTTCTGACTGTTGCCATAATGTGCACAGTGCGTAACGTGAATTTGGATCATTAAACTAAAATCTAACCATGCTACGTGTCGCTCGACTCATATCGATCCACAACTCCGGATGTCGCTTCCGGCTTATTGTCCACGCTTCTATTTATGCTCTCCCCCAGAGCACACACAAAGGCGGCCGGAGTGGGGCTACCATTTTTTGTGGAAAAGCGTTAGCCATTGACCTCAACAACTGAGCGGTGGCTGTACTCTTCCACTCGAAAAAGAGTCCAATTTTCCACTGAATATTTAACAACTTTGGTGAAATTCTTTGCGGGAGAGGATCCCTTAGTCTGGTTATAAAAGGAGACAACACTATTTACACACATAATTCCCTATACGTATCCTTGTATAAAAGGATATGCATCCTTCAGAGCTAAAATTATTTTTGTCACTTAATTATTATTTGGGGATCCTTTGAAACTTTAATCTCTAGAGTCCTTGGCACGAGGTTCACATTGGAAATTCAAATTAAATATACTTCGATTGAGTTCGAGTTAGATCTAAATTGAGGCTTGTTGAGGCTCCTTTCGTTTTCATTTAATCAAGCACATAACTAATCAAGTGAATCAACCAAACACCCCATACAGATTGCATGTGCATACCCTTGAAAGCAGCAAGGATAATATTGCCAATAGATCAATTTAAATGGATCGCCTTGAACCGACTTTGACTGGCGGGGCTAGTGTTTATTAATGTTGGGTTTGGGGACCAGACCCGACCGATCGTTAGAATATGGCGCGACAAACTGAATTCTGAAATTGAACTCCGCATTGGTCTGCAGTGGGATCGGTGGTTGGACCATTACGATTACCATTACCATTACCATTGCCAGTGCTGTGCTGTGCTGTGCTGTGCTGGGCCACAGTTCTGGCCATTGCGATTAACGTTAGCGGGGGCAGCAGTCGTGGCAGCAACTCCATGGCAACAATGGGCAGAAAGGGGAATTAATTAGATGTGGAGACGGCAACAAAGAGCAAACTGAACAATGTTCTAAATGCTCCCCATACACACATCCACACTCGCATGCACATACATGTGTGGGGATTGCCATTCAAATGTTAATCAGTGCGGCGAACAGACCAGACCAGACCTGACCAGACCAGAAAAGAACAGAACAGAACAGAACAGAGTTGACAAAAGCCACCCAACCTCTATATCCCCTAACTCCATATACCCACCCGACTCTCGCACCCGAATTGGGTGTGTTGGGTGTGTTGAGTCTCCGTCCCGTGCTTGTTTGAGGCAGCAGCTCAGCCTCTCCGTTCTGGCCGAATGACACTTTGGCCGTTGAACGTTTCATGGACATGGGCGACTTTCCCAACTCTGAAGGGCATGCAGCAGCAGCAGCGTCTGCTCTGCTCTAAACGATCACCGCTCTTCATTTTCATTGTACCGCGTTGGGTCAGATCATGACAATGCGTGTCACGTCTGAATAAGTTCGAGGCTGGCTGCAGCTAACAGCCAGAGACACTCAGCATCTCCTCCTACTCAACAGGTGCACCTGTCGCCGCTGGGTGTGCGTGGGCCGCCCCCATTGTTGCAGCCGAGTGTCATTGGGCGCGGCAGCAGCCAAACGAGCCATGCAAATGCAAATGCAAATGTCACTCCGTTGCTCCGACTTTTATTTTCACAAATCACTTGCACATATGGTCATCCCTGGTCTATGCGGACATAGTACTAGGTACAGCAGAAAACTATAACTATAATTCTGGAGGATAAGCTGCGGTGCATGGTGGCACTCCTCCCAGTAGTCAGAAATCAGGCAATGGATTTATTTCTTGCCACATTTTTGAGCCACAGAGGAGAGACCCTCAACATTAACAACATGGAAACAAAGGGAAAATATACTTTGCACGACATCGATCGATTGTCACATCTATCATGGACATGTCGTGATTATAATAGTACGATAGAACTTATAGTTAGTCTCTATGTGCGAATGGTTGGATCGTTCAATGAACCCAGCTCGGAATTCGCGTGACTGCTCGGCTGGCCCATTAGATCATCAGCATCATTAAGAACAATGAATAATGTCATATAAATTCATGTTAAATTCAACTCTGCTTCTGTTTATTCACAATTTCTGAAGCGTATAGCAAAATATTATCATCTAAAATGATAGCCAAGCCGAAACGTACAAGAGTTCAATCAACTTGAGTCATAAACTTCAGGTGCAAGACCAACTTTGCTCACATATATCGTATGTGTTTATAAGGAAAGTCCGACATCCCACAATCTCCGAGTTAGATCTGCATCAGATTACTATTTAGTGCCCAGAGAGACGTCTATTTATTGCTTTATCCACACCGATAGAAAAAAGCCCTGAAGTTTTAATATTTTCATGCCATTGATTTTCATCCAAGAGTGGTTGTATTAAAATTGAATATTTTTCACTTAAATTTTGATATTAATATGTAATATATTTCATATTTAAATTTAATATATTTCATATTTAAATTTAATATGTTTCAAATTTAAAGTTAATATGCTTCAAATTTAAATTAAATATATTTACAATTTAAATCTAATATGTTTCATATTTATATATATATATATATATTTAATTTTTAAACTAATTGGTTATTATTTTGCATACGCGGACTACATTTCAAGTCCTCATGGTGTGAATAGGTTAAAGTTTTCAACTAGAAATAATCGCAACGTGATTATGCCCCTGCGCCAAGATAATTTAAACTGTGTATTCAAGGCTGCAGCAGCTGGAACCAGTTGGGAATTCGAGGGACATAAAAAAATAATATAATATATTTAAAATAAATAAACGGGGCTGCCTGGGCTCCTTTTTTTTTTTTTTTTTCCCCCCCCCCCCCCCCCGCCCCCCCCCCCCCCCCCCCCCCCCGGGGGGGGCGGCCCCGGCCGGGTGCGGGGGGGGCGCCGCCGGGGGGGGGTTTTTTTTTTTTTTTTTTTTCTTTTTTTCCCCCCCTGGCCCCCCCCTCCCCCCCCCCCCCCCCCCCCCCCCCCCCCCCCCCCCCCCCCCCCCCCCCTTTTTTTCTTTTTTTTTTTTTCCTTTTCTTTTTTCCCTTTTCCCTTTCCCCCCTTTTCTCCCCTCCCTTTCCCAAAAAATATTTAATTTCATTTAATATGGAATATTTAAAATAAAAATTTTTCCTTTTGATTTTTGAAATCAAAAGTTTTAATCATGTCATAATAATGTTCAACTTAAATATGAAACATATTTAACTACAAATTTAATATATTATATTTATTTTAAAGTGTTTTGTATTTAGATTAAATATTAAATATTATTATTAAGTATTAAATAATATTATCAAATAAAAAGGACATTTTAGTACAATTATATTTGAACCAAAGTGAATTATATTTAATTTTACTACGTTTGTATTCAAAAATCGCATTTTACATTCAAATACGATTGTAGTTATTTTTACTATGCCCTTTTTTTTATCAGTGCACTACATGGACTCGCGCAGCAGGGCGAGCAGTCTATAGCACTGCTTGAGCACCTGCAAAGGGGGGTAGGAATAATGGGAGTATTAGGTGGAATCATGTAGATTATATTTACAATCATGTAGGTGCCCAGAGTGAGGGGCATGAACGGCCGGGCCACATAGACTAAGGGCTTTTGGGCGCGTAGGATGACAAAGCCGATGTCGCGCTGAATGTACACGGACTTTGTGTGCCAGTCGGAGATTTCGAACGCCGCCTGGGCGACCTCCGTGGACTGCAAATCAATGGGAAAATCAATGCAGTGCAAGCCAAGAAGCGGAGACTTATACCGAATGGAGGACGAAGCTTCCGGCCACGCACCAAGCGGACAACTGGACGAAGACGATGATGGCAAAGAGCACGAATTTCAGGGCCATCTTGAAATCACCTTGAGCGGCTACCATTGTCTCGAAGGTGGAGATCGAGATCATGGCAAAGCTGGCTATCATCTGGGCAATGAAGGTGGCATAGAACGCGCGATTGCTCTTCTTCACCAGGCTTTAAAAGTAGGTGGATTCGGTTAGCGGAGGAAGCAACGCCTCAACACTCACCTGATAATGTGCTGGTGGTAGCGAACCACCCGACGGAACTCCACGTGGAACTGGTAATCGCTAATGGACTGCAGATCGCCCAGCTTTCGGAGCTCAATGCCGAGCAGCCTGAGATTGAGGGCGGTCTGGACGACTGTGCTGATGCCTAAGATATCCACAAACAGAATGGTGGCCAAGTTGTGGTGCGAAGTGGCGCCCAGCCATAGGTAGACAGCCCAGTGCGCCCACGGATGAAGGTCCTGGCGATGCCAGCCAAACGGCAGGAACGCGTGGTACGGCAGTCGGCCCTCGCCCAGCAGCGGCTGCAAGCAAATGGCCAGGCTGAACAGGTTCACGAGTATGAAGGTGGTGATGCCCAAGTACGCCTCTCCCATGTACGAGTAGCGCTGCCATTTCAATATTTCATCGTCATCGTGGACCGGCCTCACCACTTCGTCGTAGTACGAAAAATCCCTTATGACCTCGTCAATTTCAGTGGCGCGCACATGAACGGAAAATGATTTGGTCCAGATCAGAAGTACCTTTAGGCAGGGGGGGTATTGGATATTGCTGTACTGGCACGCAGCGATTGAGTGGCTTACCCCTGTGAGCCACACCAAGTCGTCGCCCATGTCGATGATGTTCGAGGACTCGTGCACACCACTGGCCATGGCAATGAACATCAGCGTCTGGTTGCACAGGAGGAGCCAGTTGATCGGTCGGTACATGGGCCAAGAGGATAGCTTCTTGTTGGGGAAGCGACCCAACACGCTGCAAGAACAGTTGAGATATTAACTGAAGATGGAGATGGGCTGCAGCCGGGTGGCTGGACATACGCCAGGAAGGCGCGTGCGGTGTGCAGGATGAGACGTGGGACTCGGCCAGGCCTCTGCTGGCGCTGCACAGACCGGAACTCGCCCCAGAAGTCGCGAATCAGGCGAAGATTTGATGTATAGTCAGGGTCTGCCATCGGAGGTGGTTCGATTCCAAACTGTACGGCCAGGCTGGCGGCCAGTTCCTTTTTATATGGGCCAAGGCACGAGTCTAATTACAATGTTGATGTGGAAACGTGGAAACGTTTTGTGGGCAACGCCCACGAAGCAAATAAACAGAAAAACATCTGCAGCAAATCGCATTGCAGTGTTGTGGATTGTGGATATCTGTAAGTGATGGGCCCATTGGACACTCTCCATGTGATGGCTGGCTCCTTGGGAGCCAAACTTAAACTGCCCAACTATGTGTGAAAGTCTTGCGAATGGGATTCTACTCTGGTTTACTCAAAATAAAACAAACAAAAAGCGGCGAAAGCGCAGATTTAAGTTCAATCAACTTGAGTTATTAACTTCCTGTGGATTCACACTTGCAGCGCCCAGATTTGCATAAATGCATCGTGGATAGTGATTTATGACTTAATCAGGAAAGACACCAACAAACCCGCGGGCTGCCAGGGGACATCCATAACGAGAAATTGGACACACAACATAAATCCAGTTGCACGAGGACGTAGACGTAGACGTCCGACGCAGACGCAGACGCGGCCTCGGTCTTTATTCAAATTTCTCCAGCACACTTTACGGCCCAGTCGCAGTCATCAAATCTAGTGGGATGCAATGGTACTGGTTCTGGCAGGCTTCTCGGATGCCGTGTCTGGTATGGACAACTTAACATCCGTTTTAAACGGTAATTCCAGTGCTGTGTGGTGCTCCTTAGCTGCATTTAGCAAGGCCATTGGAATTAATCTAGGATTACCCATGACGAGCCAAACACTTGTGGGCTATTGACTCCCAGTCGCAGTCCCAGTCGCAGTCCCAGTCCCAGTCCAGACAGGCTTCCTTGGCTAATAGTCGTACTCGTACTCGTAATAAAGTGTTTTTTATTGCTAGCAGCAGCACTGGCCTGGCCAGGCTTAACCATATAATCGGCCCATAATGGCAGAGCCATTATAACAAATTGATATCAATTTAGCAACAATATATGCACAAGTTGCGTCGATGACTCGCCATTGAACTCTGTGCGGGATTCAAGTGCTGGGAGCGATTGCAGCAGCGATGCACTGCACTGCATGCACATGAAAATGCAGAGGCACATGCAAGAGGCACATGCAAGAGGCACGTCCACACAGCCGTTGAATTCTGATGGGGCAGCAGCGGCAACATTGGTAACAGTATAGACCAGTATTCCGAGTTGCCAAAGCGCCGTTTGATGCTCTAATTTATACAGCATACTGATGAGTTGACCGCTGTTCTGGAATTGTTCTCCTACGGGTTTGGATTCGGGTTCGGGTTCGGTTCGGGTTCGGTTCAGTTTACTTTGGTTTGCCATGCTTTGGTCACGAAAAAAGTGGCTCCAAGCACTCGAAGCACACCTGACCAGACGCACACATCCACAGAAGAAAACCTGCACACACAAATGGAAATATTTGTAGCGGTTAGCGTTTAATTGAAATGCATTTGGCTTGTTTGCTGTCAATCACAGGGGCCCAGATGGATGGATAGGCCTTGCAACGGAACTGTTTCCGAACAACGAAGACCGAAGACCGAAGACCGAAGCCCGAAGGGTAATAAAGCCATTGTTCAGGATTGCATGCCACCCCATCGCGCTGTCAAGCCATCTAGCCGGGTATCCACAGTACTGTTCCCTCCACACGCCATGGGATGGATGCCTTGATAATGATTCTATCATAACGAAATATTTATTCAATAATTACAAATCACGAAGGACTGAATAGTTGCACAGCAATCCAGTCTGCAGCAGCCAAAGACCCAGCCTCTCCTTCGGCATTAATGCGTAATGTGAAGGAGACAAGAGGAAGGGGGAGTACTCGCATCCTCCATTAACCGTTTTGGTCGCTAAACCCAACATGGACCAGGTTGATTTTCATGTTCACTGCAAAAGCAATTGGTACTCGTCGTAATAAGTGCCCGACGACCGCAGACATGGAAACAAGAACACATTTCTCAATCGTTATTTATGAATACAATTGCAAGTTTTTTTTAGCCTGAGCACTGGGTACGAGTAGCGAACCGAACCGCTACGAGCGTATCAATAACTAGCCAGATTACAATATACTACTCCAATGGGAGCGAACGGGGGCAGAGGACAGTTGCAATCCTGCTGCACATCCCAGAAATGAACTGGTTTGCCGGCTGTCCACGGGGCACCAGCAGCAGCAGCAGCAACAGCAGCAGCAGCAGGCCAGAGCAGAGCAAAGCAAAGCAGATCAGACGATGCACCGCAGCCCCAGGCCAGGCAGCGACGTGTGCCCAAAGTTTGCATAAGTTGAGCTGGCTGGACATGGACGTGGACGTGGACATGGACTTGGATGTAGACGGGGATGTGGATGTGGACCTGGACCTGAACCTGACTTCGTTTTACAGTTAAGGATTTATGGATGATGTATGGGTAAATGGCAAACAGATACGCGGGTAATTGTGTGTAGGCAACGCATTGCTAACTGCTCCACAAAATGTATTCCAGCCACACACACACATACAGCCATACAGACACAGACACAGCTAAACGAACGATCGATCGAGCACAAGTCGGTCGATTCAGAGTCGATTTCAGATTCAAAGATTCAAAGATTCAGATTCAAATCGTAACCGTTACGAGAACACAAAAAACTAATTCGGACACCGAGAGTGGAGTCATAAAATGCAGATAGGCCAAGGCAAACCTCGACCGTTGATCGTCATAAAAGTGCACAGAAGAAAAACAAAAGAAACAGAAACAGAAACAGAAATAGAAACAGAAACAGAAAATCGAAGGCCCATTTTCAGGAACTGTATATGGATCGAGATAATGCGAAGTAAATACCAAACGGGGCGGGGGGTATATATCATTAGATGGAGATCTACAAAAATGAAACTTTCTAAATGACGGGCGGCACCGGCACCGGCAACAGCAACAGCAACGGCAGCAGCAGCAGCAGCACCAGCAAAAAAAAAAACCAAAACTGTAAATGCAGCTAAAGCAAATAGTTGGATGCATTCGAAGCGGCGTCGCCAACTAAAGTATAATTATTGCCTAGACAAGATGGGAATGGAGACAGAGACTGCCCCAGACAACGGAGCTGATACTGAGGCTGCTGCTGGTGCGGATCAGACTCTGCGGGGCAGAGAGGCAGGCGGCACGTACGCAGCGGCACAAGGAGATGCCAATATTTCTCTATACATACATATATGTGCATCTAAAGTTATTTGTTTTGTACGTATGCTTCCCCTTCCAGTGGCTCTAACTGTCTTTAATTGAAACCAGTTTGCTGTAATTGTTTCTTTTTTTTTTTTTTTTTTTTTTTGTTTTTTTGGCTTCGCCGGGTAAGAGTTGGCCCCGCTGCCTTATATGTTATAACTCGCTTATGTCAAACAGATTGTCTGTGTAATTTGAGCAGCCCCACCACAGACAGCACAGCACAGCACAGCACAGACCCAGCTCCCACCTGCTTGGCTGATTGTATGATTTTCAAAAGTTTTCACTTGTTCTCGGGCCCCACCGCGATCTGCTAGCATCCATCTGTCCTAATGCTATGCAGCTGCACTGGAGTGTGACTAAAATGAGTAAATTGTCATAAATTATGGTGAACCAATGACAAATGAAGCAGCGCCGATTCGGCGGAGGATGGGCCTCCATCAAATTGGAGCATGTCCCGCGCCATGGGTTCAAGCGGAGCTCTTCGAACGGTACACACGGCGCATACGCGATGAAGAACCAGTCGCAGTCCAGGTGCTACGGCATACCCCTGTTTAATTAGTCGGCAGTGGAAGATCTTCGCCTTCACACATCACAACACATCTGCAGTTCCTTATACAATTTGTCAAAACACAATTCCAACTTATACTTTCGGGATATAAGAGCGGAAAGCAGAAAAGAAAACTCGTTTAAGAGCGAAAAGTTTTCTCTGTCGATGTCGCTGGCTATGCTATGGGTCTCTGCCTCGAGCGGCTTGCTTCGGCAGCTCCAGCAGCTGGCTCCAGTGGCAGTCGCTTCTACGACGGCGACCTTGATAGACGTCTGTGCGGTTCCAGCCAACACTCGAGGAAAATCTAAAGAAAACCGCCAAGCCGCAAAGAGTCGCGAAGAAAAGTCGCAAAGGTGCCGCGCGGTCTTCGCTTTCTTTGTTGCAAAAGAAAAACCATTTCTGAAAACAATAACCGTAAGCGGGGGCTAGTGCTGTTTTTGTGTTGTTTTTGTGTTGTTTTGTGTGTGGCACGAGATGTTTCAAAAATGTGGCCGCAAATAATGGCAAATGTGCAAAATGTGCTCCAAGAGAAATGTGTGAAAATGCCAGCAAATGCAAATGCAAAGTGAATACAACTGAAAAGGAAATAATAAGGAAAGCCCGCCGCCGGCAAGCAGTCCTTCGCCAAACGAAGCCCATCTGCAGAATCCGGGAAATTTATAGCCCCAAGGTGTTAATTAATTCGCCACCTCGACTGGTCGCTGCTGTAAGTAAGAGTCTGGTGTACACTGTACATACGCGTACGTAGATGGATCTCCCACTCGATCTAGATCTCGGCGAAGGGCTATGTTGCTATGTTGCCCTTGGGTCGGGCTTATCAGACCATTGCCAATTGAGTTTAGGTCACTGGGCAGGCACTCTCCCAAATTGGGAAAATCTTTCTGTTTTTTTTTGGATTTCTGGGGCTTTTTTTTTTTTTTTGGAGAAAGTAATTTGCTGAACTCCATTCACAGAGCCATGCAAACACCGGCCATTGCCCACACTTAGAGCCGAATCGCCGTCGCCGTCGCCTGCGTTCAGTGCACTGTCGTAATTTGGTTTTAACAACTAACCGAAACCGTTGGCCAGTTAGCCAGTTAGCCACAGCCCCATTTGTGGCCCTATGCCGGAGATGAGGCACCACTAGTGGCAAGAGCATGGGCATAAGTACATATTAAAGCACATTAAGGCGGCGAGCAAATGATGCGCTCCTCTGGCCACACAATGGACCTGGAGGAGCGTCGGCGCCGACG